CACACAGACAATGAAAACCACCTCTCTCCAAAAGTGGTGGTTAAACGCATGTTGCACCTCAAATTGAAATGGTTCCCGTTAATTTTCGCCTCGTCTTAACACTACGTTGACTCCACCCTCAATAGAAGAGAGGTGAATGCGATGAGGTTGTCGAAGAGGAATGTGCAATTAAACACTTTGCCTTTGGAAAAAGAGAAGACGCCTTCAATGTGTAATTTGCTTTGCCAACAGAAGCGAGTTACTTTGGATGCAGTTTATTTTATGCGATTAGGATTGTCCGTTACTCTAAATTTGACCGACGTTTTTGTCTATCTGTATGGCACCAGCATCAAACACTTGTGCTGTGCAATTCGCCGACATCAAAGACAAAGTGGGTCTGGACATTTGCATTGACAGGCATAAAAGGGCCACAGAAATTTCGCTGTCATTCGCTTACATTTTGACAACATTTGCCCCTAGTAAGACAAGCTTTTTTGAAAGAAAGCTATAATCACCGTCTACTTGATTTTCAGCACTACAATCACCAAATTTTAGTAAGGACAAGTCTTAACAACAACTTTGTCTGACACGTCAGCCATCAGTCGAACCACTTTTGTTTGTATTGTCACGACTGTTTTCCCTGAGCCACAATCAAATCAGGTGTTTTGCAACTATGGAGACCAGAAAATTTGTGGAGATTTGTTAGTTATTACATATTGGCCGTCCTTCATCACCGTTGTACGGAAATACACAAGCAAAATCAGCTGGCTTGAAGCCTCAATAAGATCGCCAGAAACCGGTCAAATCTGCTCACTCTTTTGCCTTCATGACTTGCAGCAACCAGTCGGAGGCTGATTATGGTCTCATCAAAATGCCACCTTCCGTTTTTACCTCCTGAAGTGGTTGCTGACGTAAACGGTGTAGCCGCAGGTGAAGACCTCTACGATGGGGATTAGCAAGCAGAACACAAGTTATCGCGCATGTTGGTGCCAGACTTAGGGAAAAAACTGTCACTAGAAGACGCATGAAAGTGGGTAGCCTCTTCAGGTACTTCTAACGCCTTCTGGATGAGAGACTATTCAAAGGGATGAAAAATTCTAGACCATGAGCTCGGATGAATACAATGAAGGAAGTCGACTTATCATTTGCACACTGTTACAAGGGACCTTCATTGCCGTGAATTCTTACAGGTTAGTACGAAATAAACCAGTATTCATGATAATGTGGATGGACTGCCGCACATGCTTATGCAACTCTTGGACAAGCTGGGCAAAAATCACAAGATGCGCATGCAGAGTGCCAACCCAAGCACAACTGCGATGTATGAGTAGCTTCTGACATCCCCTGCTTATCTTAAAACAGACCTTGAGTCGTTGCATCGGTCCGCATGGAGCACCTAAACTCGTCCACCGCTACCCAAGTCCCAACTTTTGAGAATCAATCTTTGCTTGGAGCAGTATGAAACACTCCGTATTCACAAGGCACACTCGATGCTTGCAATTGTCATCAGAGCGACTATTAAGGAAGAAAGTGCATTTCATACCTCCATTAAACTATTTACTTCGTTAGTCAACAGCCCGCCTTCTCAACATTTTGTAATCCAAATTGGTATCTTACCTTCTGCTTTGTGTTGTCCTACCTCAGCAGAAAAAACATCTCAAATGGCACAGCGATGGATGAGCAATTTCCAATTATTTCTTTGGCCATACTTTTGTATGTTAGCATGGTTTTAGAAACACGAGATTCTTGTTTTGTCGAATTTTAAGCTTAGATTTTAAGAGAGGGCAGATATGAAGCTATGGTCACCCAAATTCGCCTTAAGCAAGGGCAATGGAAGACCTTACTGGTGAAACAAATGGTGACTGGTGTAAGTGACTGACGCAGTGACGATGCAATTCACTGACGGTAGATGGTAGACATTCGACAGTGTTAAACGGTATTTTTCGAACTGCCGTCTGGTTCAGTGACCTTCACCTGAAGCAGTCATTCTTAATGTCACACCTCAAATTGTTATGCACGCAATACACAGCAAATGACAAGCAGCAGAAGCGATGACACAGCTTACAAGGGGAACCAGAGGGGATGCACTTGAACTCCATCCTCTGACGTTAGGGCAGGTACTGCATTTGCTAAAATATCCCAGATTTTAAGTTCTCTTCTTAGCGAACCATTTTCAGTAATTGCTAGATATGCAATGCAAAGCAGTCCACAGCTAGTTTAAAGAAAAGACGAAGCGATATGATGCCTTTTTCTCCTATAACTGCTGCAAACTCTCTTTGTTCCTCTTCTGCCAGATCGGAAATATGTGTTGGGGAGGGCTGTTTATTTGAGCAAATATCTTTCCTATGCAGTGATAGATGAAAGAGGGAACAAGGAAGGTAAAAGGAGTGCATTCATGGAAAAGGAGCATTTCAGATTGCAGAGATGTCAGAAAACGAATGAAAGGCGCAGGTGATCAAAGAGCAATGGATGTCGAGTGTTCAATTTTAGCTGTAATGACACCGATGACTATTGGAACACTTTCCAACGTCAGGTCACGAGAGATGGTGGATGATGAGGAGAGTGCGGAGATGCGTGGATGAGGAAAGGGGAATTTCAATGAATAGTGGGAGAGTTGACTCTTGAACATGTTAGCCGTGCGTAATATTTTTTTATTTACGCCTAGCCTTTAAGCCATTTCGCCTTAACTACGAGGCTCGATTGTAACGTGGGGACTCATCGGATTAGCTCTTTTTCATTTGCAGAATTCTCCTACTTAAGTAGCTCTCTCTACACGGCGGTATTCTGTCTCATCACCTGAGCCTATTAGATACTGACTGTTGACTTGTTGCCGACACAGAATGGTTTCGAGTACATAGTCCTTTCATGGATCTGATTGTCCTCAATTAGTGTAAGAAAATCTGATGGTTGTAGGGCTAAAAATGCCCAAAATACGTCGTTGTTTGTTGATAGGACGGACATCCTTCGGCGACGCCGTTTTTCCAAGTAATGGAGATGTTGATGCTGCCGAAGTTTCGTTGAGGAGATTGAGAAGTTGTATAATTGACAAAGTTAGCCCCTAAAGCGGCTGCTAGGACTATTTTGAATGAGTTGGACATATGGTAAGTAAAAATCCTAATCTTTAAATCTATGCCAGCCTCCACGACGGACACAAGATGTAGAGTTGCATGTTAGCAGATCTGATCCGCAGAGCCATCTTTCGAATAGCTGCAGGTTTTGGAGGTAAGCAATCCTTCATTTCGTTTAATGCAAGCATCCATTGCAGCAGGCTAAGCTGTAAATCCAAAGGAATTTCAAATCCAATGCTTAAAAAATTGCATCTTTTGGTACTTCTGTCTCGGCGACTTGACTCACCTTCACTACTCAAATAATGGTAGCAAAAGTATTTAAATCTACCTTTGTACTTCGTCCCTTTGTTAATTGAAGACTAAGAGGCACGACCCAGATTGTTCCTCAAAATCCTTGAAGGCGGAAAGGTGAGCAGCGATGTGAAGCTAAAAGAATAAGATGAGGTGGCATGACGCACACATGCGTCTCGTTCAGCATTAAAAAAAGGAGGTGGATATTGCTAGGACTCGGTCTTTAGGAGATCTTACTTATGTGGAACAATAGGGCAGTACAACAAGGCGATTTTCCTCAGTTTCCGCTGTGGTAAGCAAGAGCGGTGTGTTGTATAGCCGCACAGCGATCACATTACACAAAAGGTCACATTACTCTGGAACTCCGTTGACGCGTTACTGTCATCTGAGTTATACCGGAATCCTCGACAATTACCCCTACGCAGAAGAGACTCCGATTACGTAGCCCAAACTACCAGTAGTGGTAGTAAGGTGTAAAAACCTTCAATCATGCAGCCGAAGAGGCAAAGATTGGAAGGATGGATAGGGCTTATAGAAGGACAGGTTCTAAATACGATACCTGGCACCTACAAGTTGATGCATTTCAAATAGCAGCAGCTAATCAACGCCGCTATCAGATGGTTTCTCCCTCATTTTATGAGCCTTCAATTGTACCAATTTCTATGACTTTCAAATACCTCCACACCTCAACGTTCTACTAGAACGCTATGACCCTTAGGTGATTACTTGTCTTAGAGGCAGAATTGCAAAAAATGACAAGGTGCGGGACTATCCACTCCAAAACTGCGTTCCCTCACCAAAGACAAAATTTACTTTGTCGACCTGATAAAGTGCAGTTGATGTCTACACTGCTGCCTCCAGCTTATAGAAAGTCACGTTGCAAACGTCGAAAGACATGACTTAGCCAAGGTATTATGCAGACACAACACCACCGTCAACGTTAATCCACGACCCTAACTACGTGACATTGCCCAAAAGTAAAGCATTTCAAATACACGCAGATATAGCACCAAAATCCTTTCGATCTGTTTAGAGAACAAAAATAGGGTCACACCCATCATACTGTCATAGTTTTAGGAAAACGCAAATAAAATTTACTATCGTAGCACCTAGTTACAGGTTCAATGGGTTTTGACAGGTTGCATTATTAGACTGCCTCGATGATGACCCCTTAGTAATCGCAACGCATCTGCATCTTTCGAGCTAGGCTGGAGTGCATCACTGCGCAACCTCAATCACATTACGAGCAGTCTGACAGGTATCCCTAGTCTCTAACACCTTCCAACTCTATCAAGAGCACACATATACTCTATCTAAAAGGCAGCAATTTCTGTGATAAGTACAAAGCTCATGGGATTTGACGGTTCCGTCCAACCAAATGAGATGTAAGTGTGACTGATAGCGCTTCTATTGGTAGATTCGTAGCCCCCGATTTCATGCGCTTTGCAGCCATTGGTCAGTTAAACCATTTTATACACGCGTGGCGGCTACCTTATACCGAAAATTAATCCGTTCAGACTACGAGGCCGTCGGCCAGGTAGGCGGGTTATATATCATAGACGTATCACATTTGCCGAATGTAGCCTGCCTTGGGTTGGCGAATGCTTGCTTAATTTGCTTCATTAATATCCCCTTCTTCCAGACTTTAGGTGAGATTGTACAATGGATGAGTATCATGCGTGGTCGTCACAGGTGAATGGCGGATACGAAGAAAATGTAAATCACTGTCTCCCTCCTATCGACACACAGCATTTTGCGAACTCGTCTAACTATTTGCATGAGAGGCAACTATTACCAGACCATCAAATGCCTTTGGAATACCAGGAATCCTCCTTCAACCCATCGTCATATCAACCATCCTTCCAGCAAGAGGCAGCCTCATATCTTAATAATGCGAATGCCGTGATAAACAATCCCCACGATGAAAGAAATGCTTACCTGTCAACGCAACGATGCGAACTCAACTACAATGAGTGTGAATATTTTAAGCCAAATATGAATGCTTCTGAATACAATCAAAATTTGCAAGTCAGTGAACCTATAAACGGAGTTTATGGATTGCAGCAGGACCAACCATTCCAACAATATCAAAGTCAATTATACGGGGCTTCAGACACCCAAGAAGCTACGTTAAGTGTAACAGGCAGCAACTCCCTACAATTCGACACGGGGTTGCATTACACATGTCAAACACCCAATTCTCTCTTTAATACCTCACAAATGGTCAACAGGACTGAAATCCTAGAGGAAGGCGGTTACAAAGACTCACCACCAACTACAATAGAGGACTTTGGGGCTGCTGGATCACAATCGCAACAAGCATCATCAACTTTGCAGTCAGGGCAGGATCAGGATTTGTACACCGTCCTGTTGGTCATTGCCCAAGGGGTGCCGAAAGTGTTTCCTTCATGCTTGGTTAGTCAAAGAGGACAATTCTCATCCATCTGTGTGGCGGGAGCAGATTTTAAGCATCCAACGTTGGGAGAAAGATCGACAATTACTCTACGATTGCGTGACAGAGAGATCTGGCAGATGATATGGCCGCACAAAATGGAGATGATTACCAGCAAAAATGGCAGGTAAGGAGAGGTAAACCTCACGGTTCCTGATGTCTTGAATTCACTACGCATTCAATAACTTAATGCATTGATACATATTTTATCGCAGACGAATATTTCCAACACTTTCAATCAGCATTGAAGGCTTGGAGGTTGATGAATTGTACACAATTTTCATGGACTTAGTGCCAAAGGACCAGTTTTCATACAGATTTCAGTCAAGCCATTGGACACCTCATCACGCTCACAACTCACCTTCGCAGAGTCAATGTAAGCTCACAAGTGTGGGAGTCCAATCGTTGTCAAATGCCTCCACAACCCTCGCCGTAAGGGATGTTCTTTCCTTTCCTTTCCTTTTAGCTTCCTGCATCTACGTGTCACGCAGACTACGAGAAAAGGGATCGCAGTTGATGATCAGCGGAGTCGATTTCACTCAAGTGAAGATCACCAACAATGCTGCAACTGCTATAAGCAGGAAACAGGTAATGCGCCTTACTTCTGGTGTCTCTTTTTTCCCACTTTGAAGCAAAATTTGACTGGAGAAATGTGTTTCTGCTTCAAAATAGGTGTTGAAGTCTGTTATGTCCATGTGTTTAGATATTTGCTCGCAGTATGCAAATTTACCAACCGCGGTACCACGTTGTTCGTCACTTGGCGTCGAAGGAGGCAGTTGTGCGTCAGTCATTTGTAAACGCTTGGCAAGGCAATTTTTCACCCCATGTGGAGCATGTAGGAACCTACATCATTCCAGAGACAGAGTTCGTAGCCGTCACTGCGTATCGTAATAAGCACATTTCTGATGCAAAGATCGAAGCAAATCCCTACGCCAAGGCATTTAGAAATCGTCGACGCTCGTAACAATAGTGGAAGAGCTTTTTGGAGGGAATTTTCTGTGTCTAATATGGAAAGCATACATGTCTTTCATAACTTCCTACAAGTTGCAAGCCTATGTCTATCATTTGGGGATGGATCAGTTTAAAGTATTTTTTGGCCTTTTACAATCCACCTACATCATCAGACAGTGAGGAAGATGGTCAGGTAGACAAGTAGTGCATGAGTTGATCCAATGAGGTGTGCAAAAGGAAGAAAACTGGTACACGGCGTCTCTTGGCCCCTGAGTACTGCCGTGTGGGAGGCAGGTTCGTCCATAACCATTCCGAAACCTCTGGTCTCCAACACAGTGACATGCGCACTACCTCGTGGTGATGCCTTAATTCTAAGTAAAGAGAGTTATTTATTTGCAGGATCTCTGTCAACAGAAACCCACTCCTTATTTATGTATCGGGCAGATAGACAATAGTTCTTGCTAGGAGTCTCCCGTCGCCATAAAGTCAAATTCATGGAGTTGGATTAATTTACCGGCACCAGAGGTTTAAAGTATTGCCAAACTGTCGTTTGTGCTTGAAGTTAGTAGTCACCAGTGAACAGTTCTTGAAGATTCAAGAGGATGATGATAATGACGGTGATGAGGCTGATGATACTCGGTGAAGCTTTTAGTGGCTAAAAAACTCACGGAACTTGTTGAAGACCAAAGGCTGACTCTCTTTGCTACTGCTGTGACCTTTGACAAAATCTGCGCTGTGCCTTTTGGGTAAATTATGCCTCGTAAGGCCATTTGAATTGTCTGTGTTTAAACGAACTGACAGGTGACATGCAGGTGAAGGCTTGTGATTAGAATTTGAGGTATTTTAAAGGCAATTAATTTCGGATCGACGTACAAAACGCCCAAACCGGAGCGTGTAGAACTCCTTCCCTTGTTGGTAATGCGGAGACGAGGTCAATTTCGTGCACAATTGGTGTGATTGTATCGTGGCAATTTTTCCACCATCTGAAGTAGATACTACTAATAAAACGTTCCGTAACAAAGAAAGTTACGGCATCAAATAAGGATGCTACAAGGTCAAGTGATGTGTTATTATTTTATAAAAAAAGATGAAGACCTTTTCTTTATGGGAGCAATAGATACCGAGCGAGGAACGAGGTTTTCGAGGGACACAACAGTCGCCTTGTAATTGCTTCCTTTGGAGGTGCGCTTGGTCACATCCTGATTCCGCATTTTGGGATTTAAAGTTGCACAAGTCAACTTTCCTGTGCAATCGCAACTTGTACACTTAGTGGCTAGACTCGTGGAAGTTCTTCTGCCCCGGAAACGAACGGGCGCGGTTTTATTTAATCTGGAAGACACAAACAAAACTTTATTACAGATCCTCCTGTATTAACATATCCATCCAATCTGATTATGCATAAATGCTCTTTCTGTCTCCTAGCCGACTGGTAAAAGAAGCCTGATTTAAGCTTTACTGTAGGTCAAGGTGTTATAATCGAGCACAAAATTACTTTGATAGCATCGAACACATCGCTCTTGATGCCCATTTCACCGTGGCAGCTACTAAATGGACTTGGGTCCCGCCAACAGCCTCACAAGCAATCACGAGCTACCTCATCTCATTTCAGGTACGACACTTCAAAGGGGTTAACAATTCACGTCTAAGGAAGCATGAGTAACATTGTGATTACTTCGATATTTTTAACAAATAAAATCCTGTTTGTCTGCTAAAACAATCCATAGCTCCTTCGCCACAATAGCGATTTCATATGCTCAAGAAGTGTCCAAAGTTGTGGGAAAAAGCATAATTACTGAGGCTTGCATCGACCTCGTTAAAGAGAGGAGAGGAGGCTTCCATGGTGACCGTCGTGAAGAATGAAGGTGGAAAGGCTTGGCACGAATACATTCATTCCATTTGTCAAAGAAAATATTAAAAAGTCAGCAGATGGAGGTGTTTATCTGACAAATTATTGTGAAACAAGACACTACAGTCTCGAAGAAGGAAGTGTAGGCGACCCCAATTTACACACTTTTCTTGAAGATACTGCCAACATTGAAGACATTAAAAAGTGAGAAACACATTCTTAGTCTGTGGTTTTCACATTGTTTCCTATTTTAGGGTCAACTGTTTTTTTTTAATTACATACTTTATTAATTTGGCATTTCAGAGCGAGAAAAATGGTGTCACCAATGAGCTCTCCACGCTGCACCACGTCTTCCCCTCTACCGAGTTCGATAAAGCATTTCATGTTGTTTAGCTGCATTTTTTTGGCATTTAACTTCTTTCTCGAGAAAAACCACACACACAATAAAATGAGGAATTTGTGTGCTTTGTGGAAGTTTCTTTGTATGTGCGACCAAGTTAGGGGTTGAGTTTCTTGAAAAGTAGGAAGTGTTGCAGAGAGTGGAGCTGTGAAGTTGGCACACCTTGGAATGCCATCTGTGAAGATCCACAAATTCCTCATGCATGCTCATTTGCTGCCAGTGATGCATGTGATCGGGAGAAATTAACAACAATAAGCATACAGCAGGGCCTTTTTATAGTGTTTTCAAACATAACTGGAAGATGGGAAAACAAACCTGCACTGCTGTGCTCTAACACCGATTCAATGTGTTTTAAAAAGCCTCCACTAATTCAGGTGATGCCAATCTCCCCAGTTGATAAACACTGCTGCCCTACCAAGAGCATATCTTTACAGGTGTTGCAAGATTTACGTCCCAACTTCATCACAATTCTCATTTATAACATCAAAATTCCTAAACTTTGAAGACTCACTACTCGACTTACAATAAATTTCGACCATTTTGAATGTGTAAACTGCATTACGTCTTCAAATTTAGCTTAGATGTGTTTCATGGATTTCAACTTCTTGATCAAATTAGCAACAACTACTCGTAGGCATTTTTACTCATTTTATTGGAGTAACGACAGCTCTGAGAGACTCTTTTTAATGCTCACTCAATTTCCTTACAAGGTCACCCTGAGAATGTTGACAGATTTGCCTTAGTTATGAAAGATGGAGAGTAGTTTCGTGTGTGCAGAGTGTTTCCAAGCCTACCAAACTATCACCTTCGCTCTTGCCCATTTGTATAGTGAGCATAACGGTGGGTTGTGTTTCCATTTTTTACATCCCCCATAAACACATGCGTTGAGGTGTACCCAAATGCACCTATTTGTGTCTGAGTAATAAAAATTTGTACTAAAATGCTTAGATTAGGTGATTTGGTCCCTTCTTAAATACAAGTGTTTAACGTGTTTCAGTGATCTTAAGACCAAGTTGTCCTGTTTGCTCTGAATATGGAATAAGTTTTGGATTGCTCTTGACTCACCAAAAAGGTAAGAAATGTTATACAAAACTCTCTCTATGGCTTACTTTGATTGTCAAAAGTGATGTAGCCATCTTCCTTTGAATCACAACAATAGCCAGGAATCACAATGTCTGTTGTCTATGTCGTGAGGGATTTACGGACTTTCATTCGCTTTACCTTCATTTCGTCAGAGCTCATATGTGTGAGTTTAGATTTCGTTGTTGTGCACTTCCACCGCCGCCGCCTCCTCCTCCTCCTCCTCCTCCTCCGCCTTGTCCGGACTTTGAACTTCATGTTACCACGCTTTAGATCAGCGGATGAGGCCTTCAGCACTCTGTCTATACTGTCTGGAATGCTTTCAAATATGCACGTCGTGGGATGCGATGGTCCATCACTTACTTGCGTTCCACTTTTGTACGTGTGCCTCCAGCTCTCATACATGTCTCACCGTAACTAGTTGTGGCAACTACTTGAGCTCCTCTTCTTTGCAGTCAGTTGGCATAGGGTGCTGAACTAGGACGAGCACAAACACCTCTTTGTCCGTGCGAGTAGTGTGAGTTCTCACAGCATTTTGTTTTACTATTACTGCCTCTTACTTAAGTCTGATGGTAGAAGCCCTTATCTCTCAGCGACTCCAACCCCACATCGTGGCGCCTCCAAAATTGAGTGGACTTTAGGCGAAAACAGTATGATTTAAGTGAAACACTACACCACATCGCCTTATCGCAGACTTCTTCAGTGGTACCACCACTTTTAGCAACGACAGTGCCAAAATCTCATGCATTAAATACAAAGTTTACACACGCACACATTTTTGTGTGTTTGAGTTTTAGATCCACCCAACGAGCTGCTTCAACTACTACCAAAGAATTGTGCAATATTATACTAATCATAAGCTCACTTTTCTTTCCCCTTAGAGCTCATTTTTTATGCATAAGACTATATCATCCCGAATTGATGCACCTTACAGTCTTTGCCTGATGAATATCCTCCTCCATTAGTCAGGAATGTTGCGTACTCTTCATCTCGCCTTCAAAGCATGCCGACCGAACAGGAGACTACTTTTGTCTTTTCGTGTTTGGTAGCCAGTTTACTTATCGCATTCATAAAGTATGGCAAAGTAAAGTTTTGCAATGTTGATTTTCCAGTTCTCTTGGGATTGAGGTGAAGGAGCCCAACAGTTTGTCATAATACGAGGGATGAGCATAAAAATGTCCCAGCCGCCTTTGCCGCATGCCTTAAATTGACAAACAAGGAAGAGTGCAGTGAAGTACATCCAGTTGAAGAGGTGTAGCGACCTTCACTGTCCATCAACTATTGGCTAGACTTTGAGATTTACCACCTTCTCGGCTAAACAAGGTACTACTTCCAAAAAAATCTTGCCTCATTTACTCCTAAAAGTGTTACTGGTGACAAAAATTAAAAGATGAACTTCACAGCAACATTAAGGCTTTCAAGGAAAGTAGAAGGCCGTTCAATCGCCTTACTAATAGGCTTTTTTGCCTACTTTTGCTTGACGGTCACAGATGCTATGTTTAACCTCTCACTGGTGCGATGTTGGGTGTGCAAGACTTAAAAGTGCTCTGAAGTGACGTGCCTCCACAACAGGTCTCCTAACCACTCGACTTTGCAAGCAAATGGAGTAGAACACGTAAACAACAAACAGTAGACGCAAGTTCTAGCAATCTCTCAGACCCGTTTGGTACTCCTTATTACCAAGATG